TAGTCGCCCGCCTTGTCCCGGCGCTTCCTGCTTTACCTAGACTTACTGCACGATCACTTGCTTTGCTTCGCGGGAAGACTTAGGTGCTATTCCGCCTTGTTCGTCGAGAGTCCGGAGGGTCACTTTTTCAGTTGTCTGACTTTGAACGTTAATGTTGAGCGGGTGAAAACCGACCCCAACAACACAGTAGTAGTATTTCGGTGTAATGTGTTAACGACAAAGTCGACACTCCAACATCAATAGAAATGAAAAAAACTTTTAGAAACAATAAAATCTTACTTGGTTATTACGATATCAAACTGGATCTAATGACCAATTCAATTGCTTTTTTAATTAAATTGTAAATGAAGTTATTGTCAGTATTATTAATGAAAATAAAATTAATGTCAACAAACAGAAAATAATAAAAGATATTATTTCATATAAAAAAATTGAACTTAAATTCAAATTGAACATCATTATTAATTTTTAACTAAATAATACTTTTTAGTCTATTTGATTTCTAAAAAATATTTAACTTTTGATTTCTAAAAAATATTTAACGGCGTGTAACGCGGAAAGTAATAAATTATCTAATAAGGTGAATTCTTAGTATTTATGACAAAGATATCATTATTATAAAGATTAATTATGAAAATTAAACTCTGACAATAAAGATGAACCCCAAAATGACACAAGTCACACAACACACTTAAATAAATTATGGCAAAACTTGAAATTAAGGACGTTTTTTTTCCGGTTTTGTTCATTTATAGCTTTATTTGAAAATTTTTATTTATGTCTAAATTACACTTTTTATATAAATAATTAGTTTTTTTCAATTTTTTTTTTGTCAAACATGTGAGAAATCAATAAATAAAACTTTTTATCAAATGTGCAATTGTTGTTTACTAATCGATAAATTAAATTTTGGATTTATAAAATTCGTTCTGTTTTGGTTAGAATACACTTTATACATTGTATATGATTTAAAACATTCAGATAATGTGATTTAAACAATGTACATATTCTATGTTCATTGTACAATTTCAGAATAAAACATTTACATTTTGCTCTATGTTCTACAAATTTTTAGAATACGTGTTCTAACATTTATTAACAAATTTTAGAATACATATTTTACTAAAGTCAAAACTACTCTCTCAGGCCCAGTTTACGAGACACAGCCGCACTTCACCAAAGATGAGTTTCTCCCACCGCTGTTTCTCCTCCTCCGACCAGATCGCCTAACCGACGTTACTCTCCTCTCTCGGGTTCATCTTAACTCGAAGATCTCGCCGGTGAGCCCCTTTCTCTGCGCCGCGTGGTTAGGTCAACGTCTGCTCTCCAACTCTCTCTCTCCATGACGGTGACTCATAACAAGATGCTCCGGACTCGCTCCCACTGCAGCTCATTAATTCCTCCGGCGCAGCCGAGCCAACGCCAACCTCCACAGCCACCGGATCCGTCAGTTCCACCGGATCCGGTCCTTGCAACACATTCGACCTCTACCTCTCCGCTGTGGTCGCCGATGATGCCCAGCCGGCCATCCTTCCTCATCGTTTTCATCGAGATCTGTTGTCACTCTGGTTCAATGATTATGTTCCGGCGAAGGACCTCCTTCTTCTCTGATCTTACATTAGTTTCCGTCGTGGGAGTTATATCTCAACAGAAGCTCCGGCGATGATTTTTCTACTCTCCGCCTCTATTAAAATCAACCGGATGCTCCACACACACTGCTACAACCTTCCGTCATGGAGGTCACGAGACTTCTTCCCGTCGGCTTCATCCCTCCGTTACGAGATCTGTCAAAGTTGGGCTTGGCCCATTTTGAGTATTAGGCTTTTTAGCCTTTGAAGCCCATCTTCTGTGCTTTTAAAAACCAGGTTGTGTTGTTTATTACTCGGGTATTGCTACTGATTTAACACAGCTCATGCATTATCAACTACGCTTTATTACTAGGGATTTTAGCTCAAATCCCATGA